ATAATAATAATAATAAAATTTTCACTCAAAATCATTCTACCAAAGAGACAGATACCAATAAATGCTATGGGGTAAGGGTGGAATTCGTACTGATCAACCTACAAAATGTACTCCATCCTACCTTATGCCTTGCTGTGCATGTTTTCAGAGACATTTCCATGTTGGATTGTATTAATAATTTGATATATTTCTTCTGCCTTCGCTAAAAATTTCTCCTGTTGAATAAAAAAAAAAATTATGGGACGAGGTAATGCAACTGGTGTGATATACATTGAAGAATCAATCAATCAAATCACAAGATTAATATCATGCAAATGAGCGTCAGTGTTCATCTTAGGTTGTTTTGTCCAAGTGCGTCCTTGATAATTCGCAAAGTGTACATGTATTAGGCATGTGTTTGTGTTTCCACAAAAATAATATCTTCCTTTTAAGTTAATTTCATACAAACAAAACTTTTGTATCTACTGCATTTTGTGAAGCTCTTAATTGGCTAGATGTACATCACCATTATCCCAGTTTCCGCCGTCTGTTCCTCCGCTTCGCCACCGAAAATAGTTTGATAGTAGGGTACTTCACCACTACAGTTGCATGTCTTTATATTGTTGTAAAATCATGGTCTTTTCGCGGCATCTACTTTCAATGGTCTACTAAGAAGTTTTGAAGTGGAAATAAGCTCTGGTGGCAGGAAATGACATTCTTGGTTTTATATACATGTAGACTGCCAAATTAATGTGTTTGAGCTAGTATTACAGACATTTTCAGATATCATTAGCCAACTTGAGACATTAAATACGCAACTAATGTTTCATTAAATCCTTCAAAATCAACCAGTGATCGTGCAGGCAGAATTTTTTTAATGATTTTTCAGCATAGTAAACATGATACACAGGCTGTAAAATAAAATATACTCGTACTTTGTACATCACAGAAAACATCTATTTTTTCTTTAAACAAAATATTTTGTACTGGCTAAAAAAACAGTTGATAACTTCAGTCCGAATCGAGAATTATGAACATATTTTGATACTGTGATAAATTTGATACTTTTACCTGAGTGCTTGCCAAATAGTGCTGCTCATTACGCACTCGCTCACCATAGATAAAAGTGGGTGAGTCATAACCTTTTTCCACCCTTTTTTTTTTAGAAAATAGTGATCAATATCTATAGATACTGGACTACTTGGCCAAACATTAAAGTTCTTAATGAAAAAAACATAGATAATAATGTTCGTTTCTGTAATTATTAAATATACTGTAACAATATACACGTATGTGTCCTGGTTACTAAAACAAGTCAGCATCGTTGTCAGAGCGGAGAGATGCTGAATTGTTTCAAATTATGGACATTAAGTTATGAATATCGAGTTACGAAAACATTGAGTTACAAAAATAACCACACACATATTTTGGAAACCACGCCCACATTTGCGAAACCATGTCCAAATTGTAACTTGATGTTTAATTAATAGTTAACAGAACTTCGATTCAATAATATGTTTGAATAACTGTTAATTCAACTAAATATAGACGTTCAACAAAAAATAAAATGTATGTTGCCCATAACTCAAAGTTCTGTTAATTGTACTACAAGTACTTTCCTTAATAATTGTTCACGTTTTCTTGTTTACAATGGCAGTATTTGAGGCAACACATTATTCAAATTTTAGTTCACAGTACGACAGTTTAGAAGATAATAATAACCTAAAAAGCAATACAACATACTACAGCAGGCAATCTAGTCTATTTTAATCTTTTGTGACTTGGATGCTGAAGTCAAGGTCAAAATTGTCCTGGTCTCGGGGGAAGGATGTTTCTAGATGTGGCATATATACATGTACATACCAAGTTGTTTGTGTCAGACAATGCTTCAATTCGGAATGATAATCAGCAGTTGTTGATTGAGTTGACCTCCTGCCTTTTACATTCACAACTTCTCTGCAATAACTCTCCGATATGAAATGTACACAACATCATAAATGTTAATATTTAAGCCAAAATAATCAGAATAATCTGACCTGTGACCCTATCAAGTTGGAGTTCACAATAAAAAAGATAATTGTGAATGACAGGAGCTTGGTATTTTGTCAAGGTAATCAGAGATCAATTATAGTCTGGAACAAAACAGTATTCTAGTGTTATATTCTGCACTCAATCTATTTAAAATATTACATTGCTTTTTTTGTTTTGTTTTTCATTTGTTACATTCTATATTTTGTTTTATTACCGGTATTATTATTTGTGAAAAAATAAAATAAAATTCCAACCTACAATCTCATTTTAATCTTGAGCTATACTCACAGAATGACAGCATACTTGAACGTACCACAATTACTTTCATCAACTTGACAATAAGTTTATTTGAATCTGAGGCTGGGTTCTGAAT